GGGTTACTGAAACCATCCAACACGCCCCCCAAGGTCGGCGGACTCTTTCAGGATCTTGGCAAATCATATGAACCCACAAGGCAAAAACGCAGCAAAAACGAACACCCAATAAACCAAGCTTCGCTGGATTCCCGAGTCGTGCATTGCACTCCTGCGCACGTGCAGGTTTGCTAGCGGCTGCGCCCGGCCAAGATCAAGACAAGAGTTCAGAGGCATGGCAGCGGCCAAGCCCGGGATCTGCAGTTTTGCCACAGAGCAGGTCACCTGCTTCAACTGCGGGAAGCCGGGCCATATCGCACGCGACTGCACTGGTCCCAGGCAGCGCTCTGACCGCGAGCCTATAGCTTACAGCATGCACATGTTTCTATCTATGTGGCAACCAGAATGAGCAGAGCAGGGCCATTTGTTCTTATGTGGCTTCATGAGCTTGTCGCAGGCAGCGAGGAATCAGAACGCCATGGCGCTACCCTGCCAAGTGGCGACGGGCAAGAAGCTTAGCGACAGGGATTGACTCCAACTATCTGTTGCCCTGCTCTGATTGACAGCGAAGCTGCTGGCAAGGTTTCGACAGCTTGCCGAGTTCCCTCAGCTAGTCAGCGGCTTGTTCTTGTCTCGGGCCAAGTCTGAGAACAGATAAGCACACAGCAAGTGGTGATGATCACGTGCCGCAGGCGCTTGTTGGCAACGGGATGCAGACCGAGATTGGCGGTGTCGAGGCACGTTCCTTCCTAATGCCGCCATTCACCTTGGTATTGCGAAGTCAAAAGCAGAGGCCGAAATTAGGCTCAAGCCTTCCATCCGATATCAATTTAGCTTAGCCAAAATGCTCCGGGTCTTGCTCGCCTCATTTGCGCTCTGTGGTGTTGCCACGCACCTGCGCAGCAACTCTTCTGCCACTGCGCAAGCCACATCGACAACTGGGCTGCGCAAGCCGGGCTGCAGCTGTGAAGCCAACAACCCGTCTTGGAAGAGGACATCGAGGACCCAGGCCAAGTGCATTTTTATTGATCTAGGTGCAGCAGATGGAAACACCTTTGATAGCTTTTTGGCTGATGGCTATGGCCCAGTAAGCAACTGCCCACACGGCGGCGACTGGGAAGCCATTCTGGTGGAGGCAAACCCAATCTTCAGCAAGAAGCTGAAGGCATTGGAAACCAATATGGCCGGCAAAGTGCATTCCATGGCTACTACTGCTGCCTATTCCTGTCAGACAACCACCACGTTCTCCATTGATGCCGATCCCAGCCATAACTACTGGGCGTCTAGCCTAGATGAGAAGGTGGGTGAAAAAGAAGTAACGGTCCCTACCATCAATGTCAACAAGCTGATTGCAGAGAGCGTCCTTCCCGATGACTGGGTTATACTGAAGATAGACATCGAGGTGGGACAAAGTGCAAAGCTGTTTATTAGGTGTTGAAAGCATTGGATGTGTCCTTGGCCAGGGCGCAGAATACGAAGTGATGCCATGCCTGGCAGAGCTGAAGGATGCTGAGATGATTGATCAGATCTTCCTTGAAGAGCACACCTGGTTTCCAGATCGTACTGACCAACAGACACTTCTCCGACACTTAATGTGCCTGTCGCGTCAAGCTTGATCAAACCTTGGAGGTTGCAGGTTCTTCAGAAGTCTTGACCTGAGGAAGGAAGACATGGTCCGCGCCAAAGACAAGCTGATTTCACGGCGCCTCGGATTCATTCTTTACCTTCTGCCTGGTGGTGTTTTGCCGTCCGCCGGGCGTAGAAATTGATTCCTTTGCCAATGCGAGGCATGTCCGCATCCCTCAGCATCTCAGCTGCACTGCGCATGAGAAGCGGCTGAACGAGCCCAGACCATAGCTTGTGGCAGTCGCCATTTACCCGGTAGCTTGAGGCCAAACGCTGCAACACGCACCGTTGAGAGTGAACTTTGATATGCTCAGGTACTTCAGCAACTCATAGAGATCGCGGATGCATGTTCTGGAAGCATTCTCGGAATGGCTTTGTCAGCCGCATTTGCTTCGCAAGCCACGCTAAGTCGAGTGCTGTCAAATTTCTTTTTTGGCATTTTGTGACCGCAATAGTTGCAAATGCTGCTGGATCTGCAACGCAGTAAGACAGCAGTTTGACACGCGCTCGAATGGGGCGTACTCAACCTGGCCATGTGCTGAAGAAAGGGCTGCCAGCCGTTGCTAGCTGCTCTGTGGTAGCTAAAGATTCCCAAGGCCTTATAACAGGGCCAAAGCAAGCACCATCAACGTGACGTCAGGTGCAGGTTGCGGACGGCAGTGAGGATTGTTCATGCCCAAGTATGCGCCACTTATCTGCTGTTCCCATGGAGCCTCGACTACGAGGGGCCCAGCTGACGGCAAGCTCTAGGCACGCGCCTGGCAGAGGTCCAATTGGCAAACGCAGATCGCGCGGCCACAGGCAGCAGCAGCTCCAGAGCTACCTGCAGTCACCGTCCGTCCCAGACTCAGCTTGCCGTTAAGTCAAGCAAGCATGATGGGGCTCTGGGGCCTGGGAAGGATCCCTGGAATTCTCGTTAGAAGAGACAAGCAGTAGGGTTTCTCAAACTGATATTTGATGACAAGCTTCAAAAGGGTCCGGTTGTGGGGCATTTGCTGGGGGCCCAGGGTCAGGACAATGGTAGTCAAGGCACAGGGAGAGGGGTCGAAGAGCAAAGGTCAAGGTAAGCGGTCAGTTGAGTAGGTGTAACTGCAGGAGGAATTGCGGAGCCTGGTAAGGGCAGAGGGCATGGTAAGGGATCAGGCAGAGGGTAAGAGAAGCGTACTGAAGATAAGGGTGAGGAGTAAGGGTAGCGAAAAGATAAGGGTAAGGGGATGGAAGTAAGAGCAACAAGTAGGGTGATGGGAGGCGGCAAGGAGAAGGGAAGTGCAAGGTAAGGGGTACAGGATAGCTGGGAGTAACGGGTAAGAAGTACGGGCTGCGGTCCCAACAATTTTTGGGTGCGACAGATCCAGCGTCCAACGCGACCCCAAGCCACCCGATCGCTGTGACATTGGGCATGTGAGAAGCGAAGGCACGCCAAATGCGGCAAATCTGTAAAGGACAGGCGACACTCCTTGGAATGCTTTCGCACGCTGGGGCAACGATTGCCACTCAAGCAGTCCGTGATGTTTTTTAAACATCTCTTTTGCACATCTTGTAAAAAGAGGTTATGTGTGCAACTTGTATAAGGCAGAAAAAGCGGAGCAGCCCCTGGATGCCTTCGAGCCTCGAAAGCTAATGCAAGGCGACATGGGTGTGATGCTGTGAATAGGGCATGCGCCGAAATCGCTGCACTGAAGGTCTGGTGGAGGAAGCGATGGCAGCGCCAGTAGCTCCGGGCCAAAAGACGATCGGCAGTGCTGTCGCAGAGGTGCTGGACTGGATCTCCGAGGAGACCCTTGAGGGCCCTTGAGGAGCTAAAGTAGTTTTTCCTCCACTAGCTGCATTGACTTCAGGAACGACATGAGTATAATACCGTTGGTCATTTGTCATGATAAACCTCCAAGGAACCGTTTCTTACTCAGCAACACTGTTTGCTGGCTTGTTTGCAATTTTGTCTGGGCCGACCTTGTTCGCTGACTCTTGTATAATCGGGCTGCTTGTCAGTTTCCCCCACCGAAACACCATCAGCAAAGTTTCCGACAAGCCGACCAGTGACAAGAAGTGTTCTGAGGGGGCGTTACCTCCGGCAGCTTGCGGTTGTCCCCACAAAGCAAAGCAAAGAGCAGCCCCATGTAGGCTTCATTTGCACCTTCAGGGTGCCCTGTCTTGTTTAGCGGAACTCCCAAGCGGAAAGGTGGATGGGGGAACCGCGAAGAAGGACCCAGACTAGTCATTTGTTGGCTATCACACTACGTTCCAGATGTTGTGGAACCAGGATCTGCACAAGAGTTTCACTGAGTTTGACTCTACAAAACGACATCTTGGGGACTACACATGGCCCTTACTTAGACCTAGGAGAAACATGCTGCATCCCATGCACGCTCAAATGACACCGCAACCCACACCTCGTTCATGGAGAGAGATTCGTAGAGTGTTCTCTGTAATTTTCACGAAGCCCAAGTAAGTAGCGGATTTGGCTGGCTGTTGCTTGCAACATCGGAACACTGACCGATCCCATATCAGGTTCACAAAAGACGCATGTGAAACAAGGACTGTAGAGAGGGCACATGTGGCCAGGGGAGCGTTCCTTATGCGCATCTCAAGTGCAAAGTGCAAAGTAGCCCTCAGAACAAAGAAGAAGAAGCAAGAACAAGAAACACAGAGAGACAGAGCAAGCATCCTCACAGCCCCACAGGGGCTGGGCAGAGACGCCTGGGAAGGGTCTTCTGATCCTTCCCATAGCCCGAATGAAAGAAAGAAAGCAGGACTCGAACATTGCGGTTTCATAAGAGTCTGAAGACCTGGGACTGACGCTCCTTGGGAAGAGACTGGGAAAGATGAGAAACGGAAAGAGGCAATGGGATAGAGAACTGAAACTTACTTAGATGTAACTTCTAGATTCTAGATCTGACTCAAGGAGTCCCTTGCTCAAGCCGCCGCTGCAAGTCTCGAACAGCTATGCGCTCAGAGCTGCTTTGAAAGGTGTTGCATTTAACGTGCTATGTCTCAAATGAACTCACTCTTGAGGATGCGGATGCAGGAGGAGCAGCAGCTTCAGCAGGACAGAAAACCCCAAGTTTTGGGGGAGCTTGGGGATGGGAAAAATTTCTAAATTTACCCAAGCTGGGCTTGCGCTCAGGCGTTGGCAGCTTCGAGAGGCGGAACGCCACAGAGAACCAGAAAGCTTTGACCGCTTGTCATGCGATTCGATGGAGATGTTTGGCGTGAAGAGTGTGCACTTAGAAAGGAGACGTTCACATCAGCCCTTGCAAGGTGTTTCGGCGGTAGACATACAGCCCGAGTCTGAAGACAGGCCACACCAAGCTGGCCACACCTCAACCAAGCAGAAAGCCATGCAGGTTGTTAGCTGCGGCCATGGCTGCCTCTAAGGAGGCTCAGGTGCCAAAAGCTAGGCGAAGCCAATCTTGTGGCTGTCTGCAACCTCCGGCCAAAGGTCATCGAAACTTCTCGAAAAGAACTCCTTGCTGCAGAGGAAGCGGAGCTGCAGGTCATCCAAGCTTGCGCTGTGCCATGAACAGACATTTTGAAATGCTGCTTGCGAAGTCGAAGACGAGACCTCAAGTCACTGCACGGCTGTTGGGTAACACTGCCCTCCATTTCTGTGAAAAGGTAGGTTTCCGTCACAAAGACAGACTGCTTATTCATGTTTCTCTCTGAATCATTATCTTCCTTCAAGGACTCATGACAACGCACTTGCTTCATGATAATGCGTCACTGTATTTGAAGGCAGCCTTGCTTCTGTCTCGCGGGATGCTCGCAGCACCGCAGCTTGTCGTGGACTCTTCTGAGGAGGACCTCGCTTTGTAGTGGTGGGAGGAGATCGGCTTCACAGGTGCTCTTTTGGCCTGTGTCAGGAGACCTGCGAGGTGCCCCCGCTTCGCGAGACAAAGCGCCACAAGGTGCTTTGTGCAGCCAGAATCTTCTGATTTAAAGCCTTCCGCGTCGCATCTTGTGTCTTGGCAGGCAGCCACCTGAGGCTGTGGGGCAATTTTCCGCCAAGTCTCACTCAGGGCAAGCGCATTGAGCGCAAGTGCGATGGCGAAAGCCTTTTGAGACGAGGACGTTTTCCCGGCTGTTGCCGCGCGTGTAACCTGCCTGCCGTTTCTTTCCAAGTAGTCTCATGCTAGATGAAAAGATCAATCTCCTTTCAACTCAGCCCTCAAAGTGTGTCCATGATTGGAGAACAGATGGTTTTCAAAGCCTTCTGGTAAAGGCACACGGCAGTTTAACAGAACACTGTTTGCTTGTGCTGGGCTTTGGCCTTGTCGTAACCATGGTGCCGATGATTGGTCCCGTCCTCGTGTTCCGTTTGCAAAGAATAATGTCGCAGAAGTTCGGACGAGAGAAAGGCCTGGCCTACTGGCCGCTGCTGCTTTGGCTCCCTCTTCTTGCTGTGCAGTATACTGCTGCCAGGGCCATAAACCTTTCAAAGCTACTGGGCCTGCAAAATTGTGCTGCAAGCTTCCGCACGGCGAGGTTGCATTTCTTGGCAGCGGCATGCAGGCCGGGTCGGCAGATGGCTTTTGATTCAGCTTGAACAGCTAGCAGTGTAAGCGAGCCTTCTCCAGTCTGCCGTCCACGCCTTCACAACATTGTTTGTCGATACGCCTGTGTGCGGTCACCGCCTCAGATTTGCAGATGATAATTACGAGACGAGCTTCATTTTTTCAAGCTACTTGCTCCAAGATTCTCTACATGCGAAGCAGCTGAGGTCTTCTGAAGATCGTTTGGTGTGTCATGCTTGTCTTGTGCCTTGGTCTCAGCTTGGTAGCAAACGGCGTATTGCGTTTGCTCATCTTTTAACATATCCTGAGGTCTAGACTGCCTGAGGAACGTCTTCAAATCAGCAGGTTTGACCCCAGTAGCCAGTTTGATATTTCAGCGCAAGTCAGCCATAATGTGCAACTTTCTCCAAGTCATGCATTCAAATCTTCAGGAGCTTCTTCCGATGCCAGCATCGCGAATGCGCAGATGTTTGAGGCTTTCGCGGCCAAGGACACATCTTCGATGCTCTGAGTAGCGAGCAGGGAGCCGCAGAGCTGCCATTTACGAATACACGGCAGTCTGTGAGGAGGGTGCTCTGGTCCTTGCCCTGAACTTGGCCACTATGATGGTGCCCATTCGGAACCTGTATTAGCTGTGAAAACAGATTTGCACGTTCTGTGCAGTGTGCGCTGTACGCAGGCAATCCAGGCGTTGCACATAACAACTGGGTCCAGGACTCATGGTCAGAACAGAATCGCAGATGGCACCATGCATCCCAGTTTGGTTCGAATCCTGCTGGTAAGGCGATGTGCCAAGCTGGAGCTTGACCGCGAAGCGATGTCAAAACAGGCCGCAAAGAGCCCAAGACCATTCCAAGACCCTATCCGCCCTGTCTAGCATCCAGTCTTGAATTCCACACAGCTTAACAATTCGGCTTGCGTGCAGGCCAAGCAGGCCAGCGAGTGGCAGCCCCAAGTGCTCAGAATTCGCCCGCTCTCTGCCTCAGCCTGCGCGGCTCAGGTTTGCAAAGACGTTGATGGCAGAAGGCAAAGAGCCAAAGAAGACGTTGGCTACTGAGAAGCTGATGTGGGAGAACAGCAATGTAGTGGATGAATGATTACCCAGGCCTGAAAGCAAGATGCCTGAGGAGAGCAAGGACGAAAAAGAGGCAACTTCCAGGTGTAACTGGAAGTACAATGTCCAGGTCACGGTGCTCATGTGGTGTAGCACATGCGCGCATGTGAGGATGAACATGTTTTCGACGGACCGCAGCTTGCCGGCTCCGTCGCTTTTCGCTTCCCTGCCTCCTTTGTACCTTTCTCGTCGCTTCGACGACATGGCCTCGACACCCGTCTCGTCGATTGCCTCGTCTGCCACTAACGTGGCCGACGTTTTGGCGTCCCTCGGCAACGACGAGCTCGCGGCGGAGGTGGGGAGCTGGTCGGCGGAGCTGCAAGCTAAGGTGGTGGCGGCGGTATCCGCCCTTTCTTCGACGTCGACATCGACATCGGCGTCTACTGTGGTCCGGCGCCGCAAGAGCAACAAGCTCGACGCGGCCTCGTCTTCCACGGCGGCATCCTGGTTGGCCCCGGCGGTGGAGCCGGCTGACCTTTCGGCGGAGCTCACCGCGATCCAGGAGGGTGAGCGCTCGCTGGCCGCAACCACCATTGCCGACGACGAGGTCATCAACTTCGGCGCCATGCAGACGCCGTTGGGCAACGCCCGTCGTCGTGGTGGACTTCAGCGGCGCTACCGGCCCGGACCTTGGAGGGCCAGAGGGCAGCGGCGCAGACGCAGGCGGCCACGGCGGCGCTGCAGGCGGCCACAGCGGCGCCGGCGGCACGACCTCGGCGACCGCAACTACTGCAGACGGCCGTCGACCCCTGGCTACGGCGGCAGGCCCGCAGGGTGGTCAAGTCCATCGTCAGACGCCTGCCAGGCGCCCGGGTAGGAAGTGCCTCGGCCGACGTAGTAATCATCGCCGCATGCTCAGGGTTGCTCAAGGACCTCGGCCTGACGACCACCCACGTGGCCATCAACGTGCCGCTCCACAAGACGGCCCCCGGCGGCGAGTGTGTCATGACACGCCGGCGCCTTGAGTGCGCGTGCGGCGTACAGGTACAACCGCTGTGCCCCTTCCACGCGGCTCAGCGCCACCTACTTCGGCTGCGGCTCCGGGGTTCACCGGGCAGGACGACCCGCCGGGGGATTTATGCCGAAGCACGCCGTGATCAACAAGTTCCGAGAGGTGCTGCAGGCGGCCGGGGTCGAGCTGACGTATGTGGACCCCAACGGCAGACAGCTCTTCGGCGGCCACGCGGCTGGCGGGCGCCTCCTTTCTGGCAACCCACGGCGTCCCGACCCCAGTTATCCAGCTCGGCCGCTGGACCTCTAGGACTGTCGAGAGGTACACCGGCCCGCCTGCTCGCCTTCGGCCACGACATGCTCAACGCATACTGGCAGTGGCCGGTTCGATGGCCGGAGCACGGCGCCACGTTTCTGCCCACAGCGGCGGGGGTGACGCTCTGGATGCATGGCCATGTGCTTCGGCGCAGCCGCGTCCGTCTGGAACTTTAACAGGGCGGGCGACGCGGTCCAGCTGGTGGTACGGGCGCTCCTAGCCGACTCCGCCTTCGAGACCTTCGGCGGCATCTTCGGCGACCTGGGCCTCCAGACCAAGCCTAGCAAGGCCCAGCCGCCGGCCAACGAGCAGGTGATACGTCCACGTCCACCTCGGCGCCAACGGCGTCACAGTCCAACCCACACGGCGCCGCGTCCTCAAGCTCCGGGCCATTATTCGCGAGGTGCTGGACAAGCTCGGCTTCCTCACGGCGCGGTGGGGCGTGCGGCCATCCAGCCCATACACAAGAGGGCGGCGCGCCGGCAAGGACGGACGCCAACCTTACGCCGAAGCTGGTGCGGCGGCGCTCCTGGATCACATTCAGCCCGACCCAAGCCACCATCTTCGCGGACGCGTTCTTCGTCGACCGCGGCCGTCAGATCAAGGCGGGACACGTTCCCGACGATGCCGGCAGGCACCGAAGCCAGCGGCGCCGCAACGGTTGGGGCTATGTCGTGCAGATCGGCGACCAGGTCTTCTATGACTTCGGCGAAGCGCCGGCCTGGTTCCTCGACGTGTTCGCGGAACGCAAGGCCTTCATCTACGCCGGAGATCCTAGCACAGGTCCTGGCCATCGCCACCTTCGCCGCCCGGCTGCCGCCGCTCTGGACGGCTTACATCGATAACGTCGCCGGCCAGTGCGCCCTGGGGCTACGGCAACAACGGCGCCGTCAACGGCATGGTGGCGGCCATGTGGGGGCTGGCAGCCGCACAGGCGTGGGCACCCCACTTCGAGCGGATGCCGTCGGCCGACAACATTTCCGACGCCCTCTCCCGAGGCGACGAAGGAGAAGCCCAACGGCGAAGGTGGACGAGGGTCCACACCCGCCAGGACGAGATCCTCCAGATCCTCTACCAGGCCGGCGCCTCGACGCAGTACGCCACAGCCTCGGCGCCGGCGGAGC